AGTCAAAAATCGACGTCTCCATTTAATCTTATCCCTTCTACCGTAGCACTGTAAACATCGAAATGGTGACATTCGAGGATAACTTCGTCAGAGGCAAGGATTAATTAATACAGCACACAGCACAGGTAGGCTTTGCTCCGACATCCAACCCCTTACCCTTTCATGTACCATTTTATGGAGAAAAAGTACCCTTTCCTGTATCTCCTATTGACAAATGGTGCCCCTTTCACAAACTTACTTTAAAACTTTGCTTCCCTTTTAACTGCTGTAAATGCATTGTCTTGAAGACACGAATAAACCTTAAACCCAGAACATTTTTTCAACTTTTTCACATAAAATCCATCTGTTAGTCCTTGTGGGCCTCGTTACAGACCTAAATGACAGAATTCCCTACCCTTTCATATACTTAAAGCCTGAAAAAGGTGCTCCTTTCGGTTAGAGCCTCTCGTCATAGGTCATTTAACGGAGAACCCCCCTCCCGCCAGGATATAGGGGTGGGTCCAAAAATTGTTTCATGGTGGGGAGTCAGGGAAGGAGAATGGTCTGATGGGTGCAATAAGGGAGGAAGTAAGGACCCTCTCCATGGATCCGTTTAATTTGGCTAATGTTCAAGTATTATCGCAAATAAAGACAATTATTTAGAGTCATGTTTTATGGCAAATGTGAGATTCAGATGAAATTACAATTAGGAATTGAACCGATATAAATTATGCTAAATAATCCTCATGGATGATGCTGAGATGAATCTTCTGTTGAAAAATGTACATAAATTTATGGGCATTTGCCATTCGCCATAGAATCATTATTAATTTTTTTATTAATTTGTTAGGAAAAGCTCTGCAAACATTGATTTTAAGCTCATCCATGAAAATACTATGGTTACCCCAAATATCTTCATGGTTTCTATCAACCCTTCCTTTGTTACAAAGGTTTTGTCCTAGACTTCTATCCAAAGGCATTATTTTCCCAAAAAGGTAAATTCACTTGGCAACATGTTGCAGGGACAGGCACAAATAAGTCAGGTGTACAAATTGCAAAGATAATAATTATGATAATGATAATGATGATAGTACTAATAAAGACTTTATTAATGTGTCAAATGCCTAGCTTAGACAAGTGTAAACTAATTGTGGACACCTATTAACTAGGTAACTACCTAAGAAAATAGAAAATCGAACAACTAAAAATATACAAACTCGGAAACTCTGCCCTCCTCATAAATTATTCTAAGAGTTACACAGGTGACAGTTCTTACAGGTGTCAGTTCTAATGACACTTTTCTCACCCGGTTCTTAAAAGAAGCAAGTGTTAAAGAACTCCTTAGGTGGCTAGATCCAGTAATTTGATAGGCACACACTCCATCTTTGAATCTCTTATACTTAAACAATTCGTCCTTTATTGTAAAACCATTATAACACATGGATTACAAGACTAAGCTTTATTATGGTTTTATTTTGGGGGAAATCGGAAGAAATGTCACGTGACAATGACGTCAGAATGGTTTTAGCCCTAAACCCAATTTCAGCCTTGTTCGGCATTTTTTTTTTAATGCTTTACGCTACGTATTCTTTGGATGAATGCCGTGCGAAGTTTCACAAAAATCTATAAGAGGAATTCGAGATATCTTGGAATTTCTAAAAAAAGGGTTTAAATTATGCATGCACTGAACACTGGACTTAATACAGAGAAATTTGCTACCTTTTGGATGTTTTAGAAAAGGTTTGATAACTCATTCGTTTTGCAGTAATCCTTGTACACTTGCAAGCCTCTGAACGCAAGTACACTCGCGCAATTCCAAAACACATGAAAATGTATCTCTCTCGTATCAGACATAGTGTTTTGCGATTTGCTTTAAAAAAATTTTCCTCCGCAGAATTTGGAATATGCATACTAAGATATCGAGTAGTGTTTTGCACTGCAAACCTAAGGAAAGTTTACGTCGCTTTTAAAAGTACAAAACTGAATGTAAGTGAAAAAAAGTAATGTGTTGTCGCTGATAACTCTTATAATATTCTGCTCGCCCGGCAAATACAGTGGAACCTCGATACAACGAACCTCTCTGTAACGAAGTCCTCGGTATAACGAACAATTTTGCCAGTCCCTTGGCCCTTCGTTATATCGACGTTCCACTGTACCTATAAACTCGATCGATAGTCCAGCGTGCATATTATTGTCCGGTAAGAACTAACACAGTTGCAGTGAGTATCGTTTGTGTTTTGCAATTTCAATACCAGAAAAATATAATGGTTCAAAGCAAAATGATTTGAAAAAAAGTTTATTTCAACATTGCCACAACGTCTTCATCAGTCGAGTGCTAGAATTAACTATCAGTCATGAACTTTCTACCGTCAATACCTTGCTTTTCCATGAAATACACCTTTGAATTCATGTTTCACTACATCCACCAGCCGTTGAACTGCGTGCAAGGATTGGATTCCTTTCCGGAGACCGAAATGATGCTAAATATGCTTTGAAAATCAAATATACGCACAAAAACGAAGAAGTAAGGAGCCTCATGACGGGTTATTCGCTGCTGGTTACCCAACCAGTTTCTAACTGAAACCGGCAGGACTTGTAATGTGTGTACCACCTAGTTTTTCGAGGGTTTGCGAGATACGTATTTCTAGTTAACTTTTTCGAAAAATATGGTCTCCACTGAGAGCAAGAAAAACGTCTTTTCGATAGTTATCGTCGGTTGTGAAATGAAACCCGTCTAATGGCTATGTGGATAAGGGAGCATGACCCCAGCGGCGGGGAGTGTTGAAAGACAGTTGTATTCGCAGGCTCGGAATCACTGTGCTTCTAATGCAGCCATATTTGAAAACACCATCCAACACGTACAAGAGATCTAGAGCGTGTCATCCTTGTACCAAGGCAAAATATGGATGGTTTCCAGTTTGCTTTCGACAGACGTCCGTATTTTGGGGTGATGTCAGCCGAAACATTTTGTTTTTCGACATAAATGATCGCATTCTCATGGCACGATTCTATATCAGGAAGTTTAATTTTCTAATTATCTGCTTTACTTAAATGATAAAAACAATTCTTCTGCATTATTAGATCAGTGGAGGAGACTGGTTATGAAATTAAAGTAAACAATAATAAAATATAAAAACAAAGTGCTGCAGTTTAATTATGTAAGGAGTTCCCTATCGGTGCACAATCCTTTGTCGTTTTTTCATTAATTGTGACAGAATAAATTATTGCCACGTTTTTATCGGTTGCTCTTAAACGTTGTGCGCCGTTAAGTCCAAAGATACATGAATAACAGAGAGATCTAGCTAGATCTGACGGGCTTGATAACCATTTTGCCTTATCAACTACGATATTACATGCACAACTGATTTTATTTGCTGTTTATACCAACGGTTCTCGGTCTGTCCAAATATCCAGAGTTGTTTGGTTGCTCTGACTACTGCATTGAATAAATTGTTAAACCCCAAAAACGATAAAGTGATCACTGTGGAAAATTTTACCTGAAAACCGAAAGTTCCTTAAGTTTCATATGGACAGTTATTAAAGTCTCGAAGTCTATTGGAATAATTCACAAATTAAGCTTCTATTTATCGTCAAAATACTTACGAACATTACACCGTTCTCTAATCCTTCCTACCTTAGTTACTGCAACATAGTTTGAGGCTCCGCTTATAAATTATTTGAAGCTTATCTCAAATGGATTAATGGATTGTAATTTGATAAAAGCAAGTAAGCGGTAAGTCCCATTTCGATGCACATTCTGGTCCATTCCATGAAAACCTCGAATTTTATCCTTCCATGATACAAACTTACTAAAATTAGGTCCAGGGGCGGATCTAGCGGGAGGGTACAGGGGGCGCTCACCCCCCCCCCCCCCCCCCCCCCCCCCCCCCCCCCCTTCCTTTCTCTTACACTCGTTTCCTTCTATGTCTTTTTTTTGTGCTCTCTAGTATACTCTTCCCTTTTTTTCTGGTGTCCCCCCTCCGCCATAACTCAGACTCCCCCCCCCCGCGCCCCTCCCCCTCTCCTCCCTCCACCC